CCTTTTCTTTTTATCTCTGCTTCCGTATCTATTCCTGTTCCTGTTCCTCGAAGGAACTGCCTTTTTTCTTTGTGGTAGGCGTGGGCGGAATCGATGACGCAACCTCGCAGTGCGCTCGCGTTTTTGCGGAGGTTTGTCAGCTTTTAGGCCAAAGCTAAGATGAACCCAACCAACGCAACTCCGACATCGGCAATTCGGCTTCTGGGTTAAAGCGGCAGAATTAAGAAATAATAATATGGGGAATTCCCCGTCAACGCTTGCCCCCTCGTAGACCTAGAATGGCATGATCAGATGGGTCCCGGAAGTCGGAATGCAGCAGGCTGCAGACGCATCCCAGCGCCCAAGTGTGTCTTGAGAAGCCTTGGCTGATGGCTACCGCCGGACCCCGAGCTGAGGCGCGTAGCCGGCTCGGTGAGCGAGCTCCCAGGTGGGGACCAGACCAGGTATATTCAGGCTACTACCTCAGACCTTCCATCCTCTCCCCTTCGGAGCGGGGGTGAATAGGCGCTGGGAGCGGGTCTTGGGCTGATAAGGAATTGGAGCCGAGGCGGAGGCGTAGGGGATCGATCCATAGGTGGGTGGGTGAATGACAGCGGTCTAACATGGGCACCAAGCACATTTACGGATAGCTCGGCACTTGTTTATGCCCCCGTCAATGTCACCCACTGCTAAGCTAACATGACATGGCGAGCAGGATAGGACAGGCCCATCCCCTCACTGGAGGCAGTGGAGGGTACCTGCAGCACCCATGGCCACTGGGCGGCGGACAGGAGGGGAGGCGGTTGGAAGGGAACCTATAGCGTGGTGCATGCTATTGCATGGCGGATGGCGGGTTGCTGTGATATCAAGACGCCTGCTCGCGTATAGGCAGGTAGTTATCCATCCCAGTTCGCTTGCATGTTGCGCATGCTGTTAGATAGACTTTTGAGAGAGGGGTATCGTGTCAGCGAGCCTGAATGAATGTTGCCAGTCTGGGGGACAAGAGATTACTTTTCTAGAGGATCTTTGTGGGGTAGCTATGGCTCCAGTGTGGAGCGGCGGGGCGTTGAACACGCAGGGGGCCCAAAATCGCCCGTTATCTCGATGACACAGAGTGGGAGAAGGATTGAAGTCCAAATTCTAAAGAAGAAGAAAAATGAACCAGGAGGGAATACTAGACCACTCCCATTCCCCCACACTTTCAAAAAGCGACACAAGCCGAGGCTGGCCGCTCTCAGTGGAGCCCGGGTTGATTGCTACCGCGGCCCTGCCCAGGACGGAATCGCGACCAAAAAAAGAAATTAGAATCCTTCCGTGATCACTCACTCCCTTATTCCCAGTCTCGGCAGCCTGCTGGGACCCAGGCGGCGATCGCTCTGTTTTCGGCAGAGGTGCCTGGGGTAGGTTAAGCAGGCGAGAAGGAAATGGAGCAGATCACAGATCACGCACGAAAACTGCCGCTTGCTCGGCGTGGCGGCCGGATTTCGTTATCTGGCACTCTGGTCATTCCTTCATTCACTCTGCCTGCCGGGCGGGACACAGGGATTAGGCGATTCGGGCGCATTAAGCAAGAGAGCGGGGAGGGGGACATTGATAGATAGATAGCAGACAGGCAGGGAAGGGAGAGCAGATGACGCTGATTCAGTGATGGATAGATTGTAGATGGGGTGGTTGGCCACTCAGGGTGCCTGCCCATGTACCATGTGCCTCGGCATTCCCACCGACGTCGGCGGGAAGACATCAGCGCGGGCGTGTGGGCAGCGCGAGCAACGGCTGCCCCCAGAAAGAATGCCGATATCTGGAGGGGCGGCCGAAAGCTGCCATGTCATGGCGGACGAAACGGGTATCCCGGGCTTGAGAGAGTTCTCGACGTGGATCCTGAGAGGGGGAAACCTGGAAAAGGGCCCGGCAGTCCTGATTTCCTCCAGGGGCGGTGGTGGTGGGCGGCGGCCTGTACTTCCGTTTCTGTCTCCGGTCCCCCGTCTTTCGATATTTTTGTGGTAGAGCACAGTCGCCTGCCGGGGCCACGAGACTGCAACCCTCCTCGGCCGAACGCCAAGATGTGGAAGGGGGAGGAGGACTGTCGGCGGCGGCCCATGGTTCGTGCAGATGCCTGCGTGCCTACCTCTAGACAGGGCAATGTCCGTCCTTCTTACCCGGGGGGCGCTTGGCAGTATCACGACTGCGATGGGATGGGTGTCGCCCGCGCGCGCACGGAGGATTCGCCTTGTTCCGGACAACTTGCGCAAGATTGGGTCATCCAACACCACCACTACCCCTAATAGAAAAACACGGCGCCCACCAACCAGCTGCCAGGAAGTCAGCTCGTCTGCAGGGCGTACGCTGCCGCTCCTCGTTAAAGCACGCGATGGAACGCCATGGGGGAATATGCTACTGGACGAGCGTTCGGCTAGATGGAGTGGTGTGTGTGTGTGGAGAGAGAGAGAGAGAAGGAGAAGGAGAGAGGGTGGTCAAAAGAGGCGACCGACGGCGACGTATTCCATCCTCTTACAATATTGCCCGCCCCTCTCACACCTGGGCCGGACCCCCGGCCGGCCGTAGATTGCGCCGCAGCCATGCCACGGCCGTGTGTCCCTTTTGACGCCTGCCGGCGAGATGTGATGGATTTATTTTATTTTATTCTGTTACCTGGCGGCATGGGTGACGACAGACAGAAAGTGTGTACCCCCACGCCTCCCGTGTCGTCGTCGCCCGCCCTTTTATCCTGCCCCCCCTCTCTTCGGCCGCACCTGCTGACGAGGCAGCGATGTCAGAGGAGGAGGAAAATGATGCCGTCTCGGGACCCCTCCCCTCTGGCCTCCTCGGCCGAAAGAGGTCGTCAGCGGCACTTGACTGCCAGCTACTGCCTACTCACTGGCAAGACAGTGGAAGCAAGGCACAGTGGTATCACACCGTGTGTCCCCACGGTCGAGAGAGAGCCGCCGAGTTGTCAAGGAACAAGGCTGGCAGGCAGGTGTTTGAGAGAAAGAGGGTGGCCCTTTTGTTGCCTGAGACAAGTGGGCAGTGGGAAAGATAGCGCGCGGGCTGTGTTTAGCCTGGTGATGCGATACGAGATGCAGAAGACATGCCCGGCCCTGCCGACTGACGTAGCGCACCGGCCTGATCTGGCATCGGGTGGCATGACGATTCGTCGTCGCCGCCTCGACTCTCCATGAGCTGAAAACACACAAGAACACCTGGCTTTCTTACTTTGCCGGAAGGCTGGGGTCCGAAATGAGAAGCAGCGATGCCAAAAAAAAGGGCACTCCCAAAAGGACACTACACCTAGCCCATGATGTGGGCGATCAAGCTTTTGGGAGGTCAGCAGACCGGTGGGAAATGTGGGGAAGGGACACCTCCTGGGGATGGTCAGGGGTCTCTTGATGTCTGGCTGTCTGGGACCTTGGCCCTTGGCCAGCGGTAAGAAAGAAAAGCCGACCAGGTAATTTAACTTGTTTCCGCCTGGTGCTTGGTTATTCACAGTTCATGTCGTCTGCGTTTCCAAGCCTCTGCATTGAGAGAGACGAAACAATCAAACGTGCAAACACGACAACAACAACAATAATAACAACAACACAAAATAGACAACCACAAACACAAAATAACAGCCAGCAAAACGACCCCTATCCCAGCTAGCCCCCCTCCTGCTCCCCGGACGGACCGGCCATGTCGCCATTTGCCGTGCAGAGTCGCTGCAGTGTGTGCAGAACCGATAACAGCACCTCGCTCCCACCAAGGCGGTGCAACCAACCCCTCCTCGCCGAGCTCTCTCTCCCCCGCTCCCCCCCTCCCTGACGTGCTCCGCGCCGCACCTGGTGCTAGCCCGAGCCGTCTCTCAGCTAATGGGACGGGAGCTGTCAAGGCAATGCATCGTCATTCACCTTTACTATTGCGTCGCGGCAATGCTCAATTTCTCATCTTTTGTTCGGCCGACTCTGATCTAGCCTTGGCCTTCATCCCTAGAGCGGCGTGCAGGGCATGGGCACAGACCCCCCATCGACATGGAGCTCGTCATCTTTGTCCCCCTTGGCGGGTGCCGATGATTTGTGCCGAGGCAGTTTGTGCATGAGTGCGTGCGTAGACTGCTCCCTTGCATATATACTTGAGGTACACACACACAAGAGAGAGAGAGAGTGGATAATAGAGCAGGCGTAGACGTACGGGACCGGCTGGGGCGGAGGAAAGTCTGCGGCCATCCGTGTCCTCCTCCCCCCGTCCCCCGGCGCGCTGTGTTTTCTCCATCCAACGGCCCTCCCTTCTCCACAGGCAGGCATGCAGCGCGGATGGACCGTGTCCAGGGTGTTAGGGAAGGGGAGTTGAAGGCGAGAGACGGACCGGGACCCGTCAAAGACGATAGAATAGGCCACTAAGAAGGGATCACGCAGGGGTGGTCTGGCTCCATGCTCTGTAGAGAGGAGTCCTCTTGGAGGAGTCCGCTTGGAGGAGCCGATCCATGTCCAGTCTGGCCCGGGGCGAGACACCGGCCCAGCCGCCCGTCCACCTCGCCCACATGTCTGTCGGCCACGGCTCGTGGCCCTACAGTCGTGGGCCGTGTTCCGACTCTTGCCTTTTATTCGGTCGATCGTGGGACCGGGAACCCGCCCGTGGGCATGGGACATTGTTGCTGGCCCAAGCCCACACCAAAGACAAGGTAGCGCCGAGCTGGGCGCTGGCCAATGCATGGCAAAAGAAAATTTTCAGTCCCCCTTCGCAACAGCAGCCAACCCCTGGCCGTCAAAATCCACCTCGAGCACGTTCGAGAAGCAGCAAACCAACCAAATATGACGGCCCAAGAACGAGCCAAAAAGAAAAATTTTCATTGACAAAGAATCACCGCATCGGCCCTCCACTCGGGTCCTTCACCGCTGTCTCCTTGTCACTTCTCACGTCTCCGGCGTCTTCTTTTTGTTGCTTCCTTTGCTGTGCCGTCTTGAGCAACTGGAGTGGAGCCCTGGTGGCGCTGAGCTGCTGAGCAAGCGCACGGGTGGTCTCGTTGTGCGACATGATTGGTCCTTTGTTAGAGAATTGATCTCTTGAACAAACCCTGGGTTTTTTTTTTCTTCACCCAATTTTATCCTGCTGTGTTACTCACCCAGCACTCGGCCTCCCTGCCAGCCAGCTCCGAAAGCGGCTCTGAGATGAAGGATGTCACATCTTATCAACCAACGTGTTGGCATGGACTAATAGTGCCGAAAGTAGAATAGACAGGTCTGCGCGTAGGGAAATCCCAACAACTTGAGGTCGAGTCAAGGAAATAAATCCAAAGGGAATAAAAAAACGACACCTCCCCGACCACTGGGCATAAGACCCAAGACACACATGGCATAGTGCCGACTATGGAAAGCCATCCAGGGACGTGGGTCGGCGCCTGCTTCACACCCACCCACCCAGCCGACCCCCCCCTGGTCAGAAGTGACAGGCTTGATTGATGGTACCTGGATGGGTTGGGCTGGGACAGGCAGGACAGGAATTGGGGGTGAGGGGCGGACCCGCGATCACGCCAACAGACGCCAAAATCGCTTTTTGGGAGCGAAGAGTCATCCATCATACGCCAGCCTCGCACATATACATAGACCTGTCCGGGCCCCTTTTCTCTTTCTGATCTTTCTTGACTTTTCACTTTTGTCTCTTTTTAGGTAGGGAGCCAGACAGACAACTGCCATATCAGCATCACCACCATCATCCCACTCGGTTCAGACCATCCCATCCCGGTCCACATCGGTCCTTGACCAACCCTCAAGACCCACGATCAACCGCCTCTCTCTGGTGTACACGCCGGCCCAAAAAAAAACGACGACCCGTCGAGCCGCCGGCACCGAGCGTACCTGATACTAGCACACCAAAACCCGTGCCACCGTGCCACCGCCGCTGCAGCCACCGTCATCGCAGCAGCAGAGCAGCAAGCGCCCCAGTTGTGCCCTGGGTCTGAGACGGCCCTTCTAGTCCAGCCTCGACCGGGATTAGCCTTGCCGATCAACGGAGAGTTCCAGCGCTGTGTGTGTTTGTGTGTGTGCCAGTTCTGCTCACCATCGATCGGCCACCCAAGTCTCGCCTACTGCCCGCCTCATCTCAGTCCGGCCGTGATCGACCGTCATCGGGCTTGCCAGCGCACGCAACGCGGGAGGGGCCAGTGGCTTTTTTTTTTTCTTTTTTTCTTTTTTGATTTATTGCGGCGGCTTTCCTGGATTTCAGCTCCACACCAGGCCGACGATCCGACTTGACTGCCGTGCCGCCCGGCGGACCGACCAAATCGGGAGCCCGCATTGACATAGAGAGGAGGCAAGACATACATACAAGGAACAAGAAGAAAAAGTCCCGAGCACAGCACTGCACAAGCGAAGCAACAGGGGCTGGAATAACAGAAACCAAAGAGGAAAAGGGACGTCTCCTCGGCCAAGAAACCCCCGGCGCCATTACGCCATTTCAACCCAAGAGCTGATGCCAAATTTGGGGTCACCTGGCACCACTTTCCGGCCCTAGCCCGCATAAGATCGGAAAAGCGTCCATCCCAGCGTCTGAGGATAGCAGAGACGCGCGAGAAAAGACAGAGAGGGAATTTATCTGTAGCCAGAGACGTCTTGTCTTGTCTGTCTCTCCTTTCGTCATATTCGCCACCGTCCCGTCGTGGTTGGTGACTGCATCATCCTGCATCTCTGCCTTTCCCGACTGTCCCCAAGCCGTTTCTTGCAGACACAGCCAGACAGACACAGCCACAAGCACAACCGCAACCGCAACCACCTCGACTCGCCCTTCAGCGGCGCACCGCAAGCCCCCAGGGGGACGGCTGGGCCAATCAGGCCGTGGCGGCGCATGATCATTGAGAAGAGTACCAGCTGCACGAGTACACAGCACAAGGCAGCACACAGCAGCAGCAGCGGCGGCGGCAGCACACCACCACCAGCACTACCCAACCCGGCCCTGGTCCTGACCCTTGACCCTCCACCCTCGTCGCTTTTTCTGGTCACCACAGCAAAACCCCGCTTCCGGTGCTTCCCCACGTCCTGTTTCACCCCAGCCAGCCAGGCCCTCGCCCCGGCACCACCACAAACCCTTGAACCCTGAGCGCGCCGCGGCGCACACCCGCCCAACTGCTGCTCAGAGGCCGCACCGCTGCGACGCACGGCCCACGTCCCATCTAGCGGGGGAACCTTTCAGCGGCCCTGCACGAACTGGGGCGCGCCAATCCCCCGACCAGGGGAGAGGAGGAGAAAAAAAAGAAAAAAAAGGGAACCACCACTTACACCAGCCCACGCACTGCTGCTGCATCGCACCACACCGGCCAGCGCGGTCTAGCGAAAAAAGAAGCAGAGAGAGCCGAGAGGGTTAAAATCCTTTCAACTTATTTGCTTTTTTAAATCTTCTTATTCTTCACCTCTTGGTTTCCCATCACATACCGTACCCTTTTTTTGCATCTTGCTCTTTTTCACTCTCCTTCTTGGCTTCTCACCTGCTTTGGCCCACCTGCCTCTTAGCTTCCACTCCTTCTCAGACCTGCTTGATTTGCTCGTCCTCCCACGCTGCTCCCTTTGACACGTCCCTTTACCGCGGCTCATATTGCAGATCGCCAACCCGTCCATGCTCATCTCCCTTTATAACAAGACGTTGGACACATAACCGGACATTTTTTTGGTTTCTCTCATATTTTATAAACCCACGACACCTGCCTGGTATATACGCTCTCAACGCGTACGTACACACACACACACACGACTGGACAGGCTGCAGATGCATCACTCTAGGAGGAAGTCTGGCCACGGATCCTCCACCGACGTGCGTAAAGCCGTCGTCGACAGCTCGTCGTCATCCCGCCACAAGTCGTCGTCCCGCTCGACAATGGCGCGCAAGGCCACCCCCCAGACCGCCCACAAGCTCGCAAAGAGCCCCCGGAGCCGCGACCGGGACTACCAGGAGCAGCACTGGTGGGAGGAGGAGCGGGAGAGCTTCCCTCAGTACTGGTGAGTAGGCCATGTGTTTATATTACTGGCTGCTGGGCATGTTGTATTTGACTAACACTTGGGCTCACCTTGCTCAGCATGAGCTGCGAAAAACAGTTCGTGCCGCAGGACGACCGTTTCCTGTACTGTTCAGAAGCGTGAGTTTCCGGCTGCTAGCCCGTCTACCAGTTCCGCCCCCGCCCCCGCCCCCTTCCCTCCCGGACTCTCCGCTTGGGGAGCGTAGAGCTCGCTGCTGACAGCCATGCCGCGCCCTGCAGCTGCCGAGTGCATGACCAAAACCACCACAGCGCAGACATGTCTTCGTCGGCGGCGGCCGCGAGGTCATACGTCAGCCCGTCGTCGGCCACCTCCCCGCCGTCGGCGTCCCTGTACCCCTACTACTCGTCCGCCAACGCCGAGTCGAGGGACATCATCCCGCGCGCGTCGCCCTCGAGGCCCAACTCGATGCACTACTCCCCGCCCGCCACCCCGAGCCAGGCTGGTGGCGGCCACCACAGCTCCGCCATCCTGGCCCTGCGCTCGCTGTCCATCCGGGACTCGAGCCCGCCGTCCCCCGGCGGCCTCATGGGAACCTACCACCCCAACATCTGGCCCTTCACCAGCACCGGCACCGGCACCGGCAGCGGCGGCGGCTCCTCCTCGGCCCGCGGCCACAGCACCGCAAGCCCCAGCACCTCGTACTCGCGCCCGGCCTCGACCGTCTTCTCCTCCACCTACGACGGCGCCTACTACGGCGCAGCCGCCGTCGCGCCCTATGGCGGCGGCGCCCCGACCCTGGAGCGGCCCCACCCCCCACTGCGCAGGGCCGGCACCTACTCGCGCCCCAAGAGCATCGAGCTCGTCACGCCAATGGTGGGACGCTGATATCGGGTTGCCGAGCCTTTTTTCTCTTGAGGGTTTGGTTTTTCACAACCAGCTAGGACAGGCGAGAGAACAAGACGACAAATATTAATAAAAACAAAAACAGAAGAAACAAAAAGCAGAAAAAAAAGAAAAAAAAAGGTCATTGACCAACCAACAACATTTCGAATCCCGCCTCGATTGTCGAGCTCCATCACCACCCTGGACCTCGGCCTGCGTTTCCGTCCACGCTGTCTAGAGCGCTAGCGAGACGACGCAACCAACTCCGCCGTGGCTTTTTTTTCTTTTTTTTTTTTCTGGGCATGCGGGCGGTCATGTGAGCGAGTTGGAAAGCCAATACGACGATGCAAGCCACTTTATCAACAACCCGACACCACCACTACCTGTCACCTCTGCCTTTGGAAGGAAGCTAGGCAGAAGAGAGAAAAAGAAGCAAATAATGGAATGGAGGGGGGTTTGCTGGTGGGTGGGTGGGTGTCAATCTCGGCGACGCAATCTGACTGCATTCCGACCAATGGCCGCCTTCCAAATCGACCACCAGAACCCCAACCTGCGAGAGAAAAGAAAGAGGCGGGCAGCAAGTCCGTCGAAGCCAGCATCAGCAGCAGCTACCTACTACCTCATCCTGAGCCCGCGCTTTTCTTGGGGGTGTGGGGGTAAGCTTCGAGCCTCCGAGGAGGGCGACGCACCCAGCCTAGCCTAAGCCAGCTTGGGTCGCTTTTTTTTTTTTTCTTTTTTTTGCTCCCTCTGTCCCCCTTCCTCCTCCGCTTCGGCTATGCAACCCTCTCTCCGCGCGACGCGGGGTTCCCCTTGTTCTGGAAGCCCGCTGCCCAAGGGGAAGGGCGGGGGGGAGGAACGAACAGGCATTCCGAAGCGAAACGGAACAGTCGAGAGTTGTCTAACCAAGAACTCTTGTTGACGTGGTTTATTAATATCCTCCCCAAACCACCACCGCAACCCCCCACATCTTTTTTATTGCTATTTGATTTGCATCATCACACCTGCGCCCTCGACCCCTCACCGTCTGCTTCCTTTGCTGGCGTTGGCTCGCAATCTACGGTTCCGAAGACGGCAGCAGCAGCAGCAGCCCACGCGCTCGCTAAAGCGCGCCCCTCTCGTGGACGTGTTTTCCCTCCTATCATTGACTTCGGACAGCGCGCACGAGAGGGGAAAAGAATGAAGGCGTGGGTGGCGTAGCTGGAGTCCTGCTCTGGCTTTCTCTCATCGTCACCGGTGTTCGGCATTGCAGACGGCGTCCTCGACCGAGGGAGAACGAAGATACGACTTTTTTTTTGTTTTCCTTTTTCTCTCATTCCACCCAACCCGCCTGTTTTCATCCTCTTTTTGTCACCTTGCATCATGGTCAAGTTCATGTTCATGGCTCTCCCAGAGACCTGTCCCGTCATTGGCCTGCCTGGAGTTGCGGTGCGGCAGCTTGTTTTTTTCTTTTGCATTTTTTTCGTCTCTCTTTCTCTTGCATCTGTCTGTGCCATCTTCTCGCCCTGCCTCAGGCTCTGTTGCTTACGTGTGCTACCACATCATCACTCTACCTACTACTACTCTTTCTCTTTTTTTTTTTCACTCACCAGGTGGCATTCTATAGACTTATTTAGGGGGAGGCAGTGTAGGGGGGCTAAAAAACATATGGGAAAGGCGTGCCGCCTGGGCGGGGGCGTGCGCGTGGATGCATTGGGAGGCTCTTTCTTTGGTGTGGACTTGGGATAACGCTAGCCGCTGTTGAACAACAACTCACCTCTAATGATCAATAATCATTTATATCGGGCTTTTTTTTTTCTTGCCTCCTGCCGTCGTGTCGTCTTCCAACGACTGAGAGAGCGAGAGAGACAGTCCGTTGGCCCGGGACGAGCAAAACACGAGTGGAAGACGGGAAACGCCCACGCCCTGTCCCCCCGCCTAGAACGAGCTAGCCCTCAGACTCTCCAGGGAAGGGAACGGCGGGCGGCGGGGGCGGCAGTTCGATTGCGACGCTGAGCTGTCCTGTCCTTGTTGCCCATCCGGGTGCCTGGGTAACACCAAGACGAGATTCGCATTGCCGCATTGGGGCAATCCCCTCTCTCTCTCTCACTTCTTGTGGTTGTGTGCTTCTCCGCTGCCATCATCATCCTTTTCGTGCTGCGCGGCTTGCTGCAGCTTGTTTATGGCCCCCCCTCGTCTCCCGCGGACAAATGGGCCAGAAAAGAATCTCCCCCTCCGTCGGGAATGCGAAAAGACAATAGGGCGTGCTGTTGTTGTTGTCGGGCATACATACAGCCTGGGGGGGGGGGGGGGGGGGGGGATGGATG